GGGCGTCATTTTGGTTTTGAACTTTTGAGCTTTTGAAATTAAGGAAATTTGGGTACCCTAAGTAATGGTAAGTTTATATGGGCTTGTGGGTCTAGAGGGTTTATAGGGTCTATAGGGTTTTGCAAGGGAGGAGGAAGTATGTCAAGGTAGGAAGCTTATGAAGCTAGGTTTGAAAAGGGCATTCTTTTGCTTTGTAAGGCCTGCATAGCGGAATTGAAACAATGAGCCTGAAGGAAACCAGTTCGAGAATTAGATGTCTCCTTTATTGCCCAGCGAGTTCATATAGACTAACACAGGGTAAATCTGATCAGAATTAGGGGCACCCTTTATTTCTCAGTTTCCTGGTGTTTTCCAAAGGCAAACAGGGATCTCCTTTACTTTCTAGGTTTTCATCGTTTTTGAATTGCCTATGTCGGAGTTTCTATACAAGAAGCCCAAAGACATTGAAATAGAACGAATGGTCCCCTGTTTTGTTGGCAGTCGATTGTTTTTGTGAATTTTTGTTTTACCGAATAGCTAGTTTTCCATATACCTGAGGTGGACCCCCCACCCAGGATGAGTGCCTGTAAGTGATAATAGTGATCATATTCGGGTCCTCTTATATTCCTATTATACCACTATTGCAGGGTGGGAGGTCCACCTAACCTATACCAAATCCTTTTCCGAGATGATGCAGAGAAAATCGATTCCTCAGCATAGAGCTCCCTTCCTCTACTGTTTATAACAATGTACGAACCCGTACATGGGACATTCTATTGCTGAAAAAGGGCTCTGAGGTGGATCATGCGGGTTGTGAATATGTATCTAGACGTAACCCTAAACCCCAAACCCCTGCGATCCCTTTAACCCTAAGCCCCTGAACATCCAAAAGCCTTCACCCCTGACCTCCCTGTGGTCTAAACCCTAAACCCTAAACCCTAAACCCTAAAACCTAAACCTTGTGAAAGGCCTGGCTGAAGGACTTGGAGCGGGCTTTGGAGGTCATTGAGGAGTTTGCCCACGAGGACTGCAGGGTTTAGGGTTTAGGGTTTAGGCTTTTGTCTGAAGTCTTTATATATTAGGCTTTACGGTTCAGGGTCTAGGGCATTTTCCCTGAGAAAAGTGGTTTAATGTTAGCGCATGTTTGCTGAGGATGCTCTTCTTCTTCTTCTTCTTACCTTTGGTCTTCTACATTAGAGGGGGAACCGGGGTATAGGGATTGATCGATCTTAGGGATTTGCCTTCATGGGCTTGCGGTTTTAGGTCGAGGTTTTAATTTAGGCTTTGGAGGCATAGGGGAGCTTTAGATTCGGAGCCCACGCGTGCTGGCTCGACATTCCGAGGTAACTAGAAGTTCGGGCAATTTACAACACCCAAAACTAGGACATGTAGACATCTAAGGCGCTTGTTTCGTGAACGTTGCTAACTAGCCCTCTTAAGCTTAAGTCCTGAACGGAGCCTCGACCATTTAATTCCCAACTCAGAAACATGAACATGCAAGTCTGAGTGCAATAAGCAACTTCCATGTCGCCCCGAAAGATCACATCACAAGCGCTGATCAACTGCGACCCGCTTAACTCAAATCCCTGACGCAATGCCCCTGATGCGAAGCCCTAGCCCCATTGTTTTCGACCCTAAACCGTAACCCCTTATTTCTGTCCAGGTGCCTTGACAGCAGTCATTGTAGTGCATCTCTTGGGGATTGATGTGAATCATTCAGAATGCGAAGCCATGAAGCCCTCGACCAACAGCCCCTAAACCCTAGGCCCTAAGAGGCGTTAAACAAAAAACAGGCGAAACCCTAGCCCTACAACCCCAAAAGCCTCAACGCTTAAGGTTTTAACCCTAGAAGCGCAAACCCCTGACGCTGGCTTCTCTTCCACCTCCCTCTCACGCGCCCCAAGCCTTAAACCCAAAACCCTACAACCTAATAGTCCCGCTTAAGTAGCTGGAATAGGGCTTTGGGTATAGTATATTGAGATCCCCTTACACACCATATTCTATCCACTTAAGGGGGACTACATCCGAGCGGCACCAGAGAGAGGACTTCCGATGCTTCTTGACCTCAGAGCCTCCCGGAGCGATGCAGGGCAAGCTCTGGGCATCTTGGGCGAAGTTAGGGTTATCAGGGATACCCACAATCAAAAGGAAGGTTTAGGGTTTAGGGGTTATGCAGGAATTAATTATGGGGGAGTCATGCACGGCTTCTCTGGGCCTCTATAGGGCTTTTTACCGGGCAATATAGGATTTAGGGACCAACGTTTTCGCGTTTCGTGGGTTTAGGTTTGGGAATTCGAGGTTTAGGGTTCGATGCTTGGGGGGGTCGAAGGTCTACGGGTTACTTCCCTAAACCCTAAACCCTCAATGGCTTAAGCTTTGAAGTTTGGGGTTTGATTTTCAGGTTCAAGGATTAGGGCTTGGTGGCATGGTTTAGGGTTTGGGGTTTAGGGTTCTAATCTTGTTTTGGATGGTTGGCAGAAAGTGGACCCTCTTTCAGGGTCCCTGTTTGTGTTGCTGGCCGCAGGCTTCCGGAGATACAACCCTAAACCACCCTAAACCGCATTGCCTTGTATTTCAATCAAGCCTAGGCCTTGGCAAACAGCAACCCTACATAACCCTGTATAATCCCTTAACCCCCAAAAAAGGTTGCCCTTTCTAAGCTGTGGATCCACGTTCCGTCAGCAGACTTGTCGGCTCAGGATCTGATCCCAGAGCCCATTCTGCAAAGGTGCGGGACTTAGTGCTGCGAGGTTTAGGCTTTAGGGTTTTGGTTTTAATGTTTTTCGGTGCAGGGTTTAGGCTAATTTTACAGGAGTTACGGATTTCTTTGGGGTTTAGGTTTGGGGTATGGTAGTGTGGCCTACTTAGCACGGCGTAACACCATAGGGGAGCACCAAGACTTGCTGTCTGACTTGGTATGTGCAAGGCATTACGGAAACCCTAAACCCTAAACCCTAAATCCCTAATTGCTACTCTTTTGGCGGACCATGGCCTAGGTTTCATCAAGACGCTGTGAGAGGGGGCTCAAGGATGTTTGAAGCTGCTGTGTGTGGAATCCTCCCCCAAGTGGGTTTGGGGTTTAGGGTTCATTAACACCACAGTCCTTCGAGTCCGGAGTATCTACAATATCCTCTGTCATCTTTGCTCATTTCTACAGGGAAGACCAGCATTGTCGGAAGGTTGTGTTGATCAGGGACCAGACTTCAGGCTCGGATACTTTTCTTGAAAGATGCTTCAGGTGTCCGAATGACAGAGTCTTGCGACATCTATGAAGTCTCCATCCAAAATTGCATTGACACATCCTGGTGCATACTGCGCCACCAACCCCCGAACCCTCCTAAACTGGAACCTTCCACCCTTCCACCCTCGCCAAACCCTGGTTGGTTTGGAAATCTAAGCGAACCTGTAAACCCGGAGCCCCGCTACTTGTGAGCGCTGAGACCTGAACTGCTAAACTCTAGACCCCCTAAGCCCAACTTCCTCAACTCTATCTCCCTCCCCCAAACCCAGATAGCGACACCTCGTACCGAAAGACCTTGGATGGCAAACCGCCAACCCAAACCGCTGATGCGAAACTCACAGAACCTGGTACTAAATCTTACGAATCAGCCTAAACCCCTAAACCCCTTAACCCAAAACCCCTTAGCAATTCTTGTGAAGGATCCCCTATTTCATTTCATGTCCCTTGAACCCTAAACCCTAAGCCTGAAATTCTTAAACCTAAGCCCTAAACCCTCCAGCCCATATAAACTCACCATTACTTAGGGTACCCCAATTTCCTTAATTTTCAAGTTTCAAAATTTTTAAATCCCAAATCTGCCCCCAAACCCTAAGTCATGGTTATAAACCGTACGGAGGTGCATCAAGGTGGCCGATGAGGCGCCTAGCGACCTAAAGTCCAACCTCCGCCGAGCCTATTCCAAGTTCACCCAGGATCCTGGGGGGCTTTGGGAGGTTTCAAGGGCGCGTTCAGGGTTTGGGACTTAGGGTTTAAGATTTAGGGTTTAGGGTTTCAGGTGTAAGTGTAGGGTTTAGAGTTTAGGGTTTGGGGCTTCATGGGTTATAGCAATCCGGAGACTCGGGGATTTAGGGGTTTAACGAGAACGGATTGAGGGTTTGGGGCCCAGTTTGGGGGTTCATGTTTCAGAAAGGATTGTGGCCTTGCCCTTAACCCTAAACCCTAGTTTGCGCGAGACTTACAGTTTCAGATTATTCATTTCAGGTTAGTCAAGGGGGAGCAAAGTCTCAGGCGAATCCTCAAGTAAACGAGACCACAGCCAAAGCTGCTTCCAGACAAGCCTACCCCTCACAGTCTTCAGCTCAAGTTGCCCCCAAAAAGGCTACCGACGCCCTTTTTGCGTGCGAGTTAACCGTTTTGGTTATGCAAGTGATGCAGACGCACGCGAAACCAGAGTTTGCTTCAAGGATCTGCGGGCCAAGAAGTTAATGTGGGTTTCCCTAAATTTCTGTATAGACCCTAACTCGAACCACACGGGTTGAAGCCTCCTAAACCCTAAACTAAACCCTGATCTCCAGGAGAACATCGACGCCTGCATGAAGCCAAGGGAGCCTCTCGTCTCATCTGGACCCTATAAACCCTAAAACCCATTAATAACCCCTATAACCCATATAGTAACCCTAAGTATCCCCATCATTAGCCTAATTACTAAGTCCCCTTCACCCGAAACCCTAAACCCTAAATAGTAGTCTCCATTTTCTTTTCCATTATCCCTATATAACCCCAATATAAACCCAATATAACCCTAAACGGCGGGGCTTCATGCCAATCCTTGCAAGCAGCCAGCGAGCCCAGTACCCTTCAGTTGAAAAGTATACCCGAAATGGTACTGGGATCCCGAATTGGATTTCACCTGTATAGCCCTTCATTAAGGGGTATTGGGCTCCCTGGATAGCAACGCTCAAGCCTCAAACAGGGTTGTGGTAAAGGATGTTGACAGCTATTTAGGGTTTAGGTTCCTATAGTCTGAGTTCTTCACAAGATTGCGCACCTTCCGTATGCACCCCAGACATTAGACTTCTTACAATCCTCAAAAAGAAGCCCCTCGCCCCGCCCCGCCCCGCCCCGCCCCCGATTTTGTTGCAAACTGCCCGCATGCGGTCTGTTTACAGGGCTTTGGTTATTGCTGTCAGAGGCTTGATTTTGTGCAGGCCCGCAAAAGCACAGCCATGCACCCTCTACGGCCTTTAAAGCCAAAGTATTTCCTAAGATGCAGGGACTTATACAAGTGCTGGATTTCTGCATCAACAGCAGCACGCACGCATAATTTACTCCGGAATCCTTAATTTGCTTACTAGTACGATTGTTGTGTCTTTTACTGTTCTCGCTATTACGTATACAAATTGGATGATTATCTTGTTTGCGAGGATTGTTTCTGTAAGCCCCACACCCACAAAACAAAACTCACCGCAGCTTCAGCAAAGGTTCAAGGCCACGCTCTTTGCCCTCTGCTTCTTCCATTCGCTGATCTCAGGAGCACCGTTCGGATTGAACGCAAATTTTGGGTTCAACCGTGCGGCTGGACTTTCCTAAGCTGTTTTCCAACACTTGCTGCACATTTTCCATTGTGCAAAGCTGCAGTCAGATTCATCGCCCACTCTCTAACCCTAGTCCGCGTAACCCTGTATAAACTCTATAAATCCCTAAGCCCTAAACCCCTGAAACCGAGCCTGTCTCGTGTCCGCCTGACATGTTGCTTCAAGCCTACCATGTCTCTACATGGAGATGACAAGGTGAAGTATAGGCGAATCCGGACATCCCAAGACCCAATCAAGTGCAAATCTCAAGCCTGAAGCTCCAAAACCCGAACTCAACAAACTACAGGTCAAGTAAAGCCCTGTACAGCCCAAGATGCCCAAACTAACGCAAACTTGGATCCCTAAAGCCTGGCCAAGAATACAGTCAAGACCTTGCGTTTAGGGTTTAGGGTTTAGGGGATGACCTAGAACCAAGCACACAGAAACCGTCAAGTTTCAAGGTGAGCCCCATACGGCCTAAAGCCCCCAGTGCACCTCGAGGCCGCCCGTTTTCACCTCAATCCCTAATCCCTAAACTCTAAACCCACCCTGAACTGAAACAAAACCACAAAATATGTAAAATAATAGCCCAAAACCCTTTAAAACAACCAAAAAGATGTTATAATTCCACATATTTCAGGGGTTTAGGTAAACCCTACACCCAGAACCGTTCACCCAAACCTCGAAGACCGAAGCCCTAAACCCTGAACCGTGTAGACCCGAAATCGCAGTCACTAGGACGCATTAAATTCGGCGCCCAGGGTTGGCGCGGAGCTTGGCTTTGCAGGGTTTGTCTGGTTTCGGGTTTAGGGTTTAGGTTTTTGGTTTAGTTAGGGTTTTAAGGCTTAGGTTCTGGGGGCTAGGATTTAGGGTGTCTGCTTCTAGCCTGGAGTTGCAATCCTAGAGAGTTTTAGGGGGCGGTGCGCTGGGTTGTATATGGAGTGAGGTTCAGGGTAAGGGCTTCGTGGTTAGGGTTTGGTGTCTACGGCTGGGATTCCACTGTGCATGTGTGGACATGCCACTGGAAAACTTGAATGACGCATATGCAAGGGCACGACGCCGGCACAATGGATGGGGTCTAAAGTGGGGATTACACCCCAAACCCTAAACCCTGGACCCATACTGCTTCCAGCTTTTATTAGCGGGGACCGGCCCGATTGAGATCTGTGTGGCAGACGGGTTGGGATGCAGAACCTCATTCCAATTACTTGTCATCGTAACAATAATGATTTAGAGTTTAGGGATTAGGGATGAGGGCTAGGGATCAGGGTTTGGGGATTAGGGTTTGAAAGTAAGAGTAGTGGTTAGTAGCAAAGTAATAGTAATGGTAATAGTCATGGGATTCTTGTAGTTGTCGTCCCTTCATGCATGAACGAGAGAAATCCCTGCCTGACATTTCTGCTGAGGGACTAAGAAGCTGGAGAACCCGTGATCTGCGACTTAGGTCCAAGAAGTACCCGTTCAACGACGGAGACTTGACGATCTGCCTGTGCCCCAGGAAATGACACCCTGCAAAGTTCTAACGTAGACCTTCCTGACCATAACAGGGATTATGATAGAGATCCTTATATTAAGACCCTTCAAAGGAGGGGGTTGATTAATCATGGGTCCCCCATAATGCAGAACCCTAAACCCTAAACTCACGTGCAGGGTGAGCTCAAGTACCATCTAGGGCATGTTCCTGCTGGGTTGCTGTTAAGGAACTTCATTCCAGCTACTATATTGGGGTATAAGATAGGGTTTAGTTAGGGTGCAGGGCTGTATTATCCCCCTATGATGGAGAATCAAACGGAGAATCAAACGGAAAAGAAACTGGAAAATAAAATGGAAACTGGGGGAATATAGGGGTAAAAGAGAAGTTAATCTAAGTTACTCTATTGGGGAAACCTTTACTATGTATACCCGTTATAGTAACTCAAAGTAGTTTCTTCAACAGCAACCCAGCTTGTGTAAGCTCCTGTTGCAGAGGCTTGACTGGAGTTCAGACTTCTGATATGGTTGTAGGTATTATCCCGGGTGCCTGAGTCTCAGCATAGTGGTCCCTTATTCGGAGATGTCATCCCCACCCCCCAGGCTCAGTAAAACGGAAGCTAGTGAAAAAAAAGCAGGTACCCTCTTCCCCCTTGAGGCGACTACCCCCCCTAAACCTCAAACCCTATACCCCAAACAGTCCTTGACGGTCCCAATTATGTTTGCCTGGCATAACTGGGCCCTAAACCCTGAACCCTAAATTCCCATGGAGAGTAGTGATGGGCAGGTCTTTGGGTCCCGTGAGCCATGTAGCGCGCATGGCTTTGATGCGAAAGGTTTAAGGTGCAGGGTTTAGGGTCATCCTCCAGCTTCTATTTCTATTACTTACGCCGACTTTTAGAACTAAGTAGTCATGGCACCCTAAACCCTAAGACTAAAACCCTCTCCTGAGATTTTGTCTTGCTCTGCTTGTCGCAGCCGACTAAATCCTAAACCCTAAGCCGCCTAACTGGGTCATCCAGTGGGCTTGTCTTCAAGAAACATACGTCTCAATCCTACTCCACTAATGAAAGATGCCTCCACACAAGAGCCATAAAATCCTAAAAAGGGTGTTTATAGGGGATTATATAGGGGACTATGTTAAGGGGGATATAGTTCTCATACATGACAGCGGAAGATTGATTCTGAGGCGGATGGGGGGCTTTAAGATAAGGGGGGGGATGGCCAGGAAGTATTTAACTCTCGTAAAGGGCTACAGCTAGACTTAGCCTGTCATCTCAGGTGGGACGGTGTTGAAGAATTACCTCAACAACGCGGAGAATTTGGGAACTGAGGCCCAACTTACCATTCGATGAGGGAGACGGTTGTTCAGGGTTCCCAGTAGCTGGATTCCTGTGAGGACGACACTGCAGTTTTGAGAAGCTTAATTGCTAGGGTTTAGGGTTTAGATTAGGGTTTAGGGTCCAGGGTGCCAAACATACTGCAGGGGTATTTGCCCTCCCCGGTTCACCTGGAGCCCAGGATCCCGGGTAGAGCGTTGAGAATTTGTGTTGTTGGTGGCTCTGTCGTGCAGGTGCAGCCTTCTGCTGGGCAGCTGACCTTTTATAAGACAAACCCTAAGTCCTTAAACCCTGGACCCTAAATCCTAAACCATAAATCCCTAAACCCTGAACCCTACACCTAAGTCCTTGAGTTACATCCACCTTCGGAAGATTGCTCACAAGCCTTGTCCCCAATCTTTCATTCTTTGCCATTATGCAATCCTGAAACGGGACTTCGACAACTTCATCCGAACCCTACGCCCTAACGTCCAAGCTCTGAACCTCCAAAGCGCCTAAAAACCTGAACCACCTGTCCTAAACTCTAAGCCGCCAAGCCCTTAATTCCCTAACCTAAAGGGTTTAGGATTTAGGGTCCAGAACCTTGAACCCTAAACCCTAAACCACCCACATTCTGTGGACTCGGAAGAGGTCCCATGGCCTGACCTTCGATACATCTTCGGCGAGATCATGTACGGAGGCCACATCACCGACACCTGGCCAGCAGTGGATGGGTTTGGGCTGTTGCGTATAGGGACTCAAGGGGTTTGGGGTATAGGAATCAAGAGCTTGGGATTTCAAGAGTTTGGGATTAAGAGTTTAGGTCTAGAGGGCGGGGTTGAGAGTGTAGATTTCAGTGCCTTGCAGTGGTTAACGTTTAAGGTTCAGGGTTTAGGGTCCAGGGTGCCCCTGTTATTGAGTGAGATATTTAACATGACTCCTACGTGTGCCATACTACATGTTTCCCAGCAAGGCCATGCATGATTCTGTGAGTGAACGTTATATGAGCTGTGGTCTAAACTCCTTAAAGGGGGTTATTTAGGGGGTTATTTTAGGGCTTATCAAGCGGGATACTAGGAGTTTAGACTACAGCTCATATGGCTGATGGAGACTGTTTGTCGTGACACCAATGTATATATGGCCATAAGAATTCCGTGGTATGGAGTACTTGGAGGGTCAGAGGGATTCAGTAAGTAGGTTAAGAATGGGGATATTTAGGCCACTATATGACTTATAAGGTTTTTAACCTACTTAGTAAGTCCCCCGACCCCCATCAACACTTCAGGCCGTGCCATTGGGCTGACTGCTACAGGATGGGTTATGAGGTGCCCTTTTTAGACCTGGTAGCCGCCTCTTGCTAAGCACGGCGCTAAACCACATTACCCCAACCCCGAATGTCAAAATGTGAAAGCCCGAACTCTGTAACGTAACGCAGAAGCGGTAAATCAATGAACCCCAGACCGGATGTTCAAGCTTAAGCCTGGCAACCCCAAACCCCAAACCTTAGACTCTGAAAGAGTACGCCCTACATCCTAAACTCCAAGCCTTCAACCCTAAACGCTAAACCTTAAATCCTCAACCTGAAAATCCTAAACCGGCCCTAAACCCTTGACTCCAAGCTCAACACCCCCAAAGGGTCCATGCAGCTATATAGCATATACCTGCACACAAAAGTGTTGTACATTGGAAACCTTTTTGGCCCTAAGTATAGTATATACCATATCCCTACATGGACCCTTTGGGGCCCTGATCTCCTCCAACCCTAAACCCTACAACCTAAACTTTGCACTCTAGACCCTACATCCTAAAACCCTAAACCCTACATCCTTATCCCTAAAACCCTAAGCCCTAAAACCCCAAATCTGAGTGAGTGAAGGATCCTTGGGACCGACGCGCCGGATGCTCAGGGGAAAGGATTTTGAAATACAGGGTTTGGGGTTTTAAAGGTTTTGGGTTTGCAGGGTTTTTGGGGTTTGTTTAGGGTTTAGGATGTATAGAGTTAAGGGTGCAGAGGGTTTATGTTCCAAGGTTTAGGGTTCAGGGCTTAGGGCTTACGGTTTATTTAGGGTTTAGGGTGTAGGACTTGTTTAGGGTACCCCATAACGAAGTACATAGGATTAGTATTTCGGTGACAGGAACTTTAGTGCAGCTGTTGTGTAGGTATACAGTGATTACGCATGGACCCTTGGATTTCTATGCGTGGCAGATGACAAGTGAGGTCCCCCAACATTCAGAGAGCAGTGTGTCATGAACTACCCATAGCCCCGCTCTAAGTTGACCCTTCCTGGCCCCAAGCCTTACTCCACAGCGCCCTACGGCAATAAACCCTATCCATGAATATCCCGAAACAGAAGCCCCATAAGCCCAAAGTCTCTGGCTGAGGCTTTTCCAACAGATTCTTATCAAGCTTACTATTCAAGGTATATCCTACACGTCCTAGTTGCAATATTGGGTACATACGCAGGAATGGGGGATGGAATATAAGTACCATTACATTACAAGTATACTGAATACTAGGTACCCTCAGCCAGAAATCCTAAAATTTAAGCCCTAAACCTCAACCCTATAGGTACCAGTTCAAGTAAATATGCGGGCATCTTTATTGTAATGTTACTTGGCTCCCACTCCGTAACCTGGACATCCCTGGGTTGCGCACTCTAAAGAGACATGAGGGGACAGGCGCTCTCCTCTGGCTCTATTTAGGGTTTAGGGGTTTCGCGGGTTTTGGGGTTTAGGGTTTAGGTTTTTAGGGTCTAGGGGGTACATTTTAGGGTTTGAATTTTAGGGTTATAGGTTTTAGAGTTTAGGAGTTTAGGGTTTAGGTTAGGATTGAGGGGTTTAGGGTTCAGGGTGTTAAGGTCAGGTGCTTTTTTCGCCTCGCGGCATGTTGAAGCTTACGCTTTAGACGCACCTTTCCGGTTTAGTCACTAGGTGTAAGGACAGAGATCGTGTCTAGCAAATTTCAGGCTACAAGCTTGATGCACTCACTACATGACATCAGTTTAGATGTTACCAGACAACATATCATGTCAAATCTTATAAGTCGGGGCTCCAAAACCTAGGCCCTAAACCCTAAACTCTAAGCCCTAAACCCTAAATCCCTAAACCCTAAACCACAGAAGCAGCACTGCACCCCCACATCGTCGCACGGCATCCCTTGCCGAGAGTCCTCAACATCCCAAGTACCCGGTGTCCGTAGCCAGGGGTGAGGAGCTCAGGGCAACTTGGACACAAGCGACAGTAGTAGCTGAATGGGGACAATGCCTGCTCCAGCATCACCTTCTGTCCGAAAAAGCATCCCGCAATCCCTATTTTGCAACCCTAAACCCTCAACCCTAAATCAGTAAACCCTAAACCCTAAATCCCTAAACCCTAAACCCTTAACTCCAAAGGGTTGTTCGTCCTACTCCCAAGGATCCATTCTCAGCTTTCCGGCTCCAGCTGGTCTGCAGGAGTAAGCCCCCTCCATCCATCTATCCCTCCATCCATCCTTCCATCCCCCTAATTCTCAAGCCTAAGCTAAATCCCACGTCCCAAACCCCAAACTTTTTTGAGGTAAACAACACGTACCTGGCCGTGTTGGTGACGCCAGAGCTGCTAGTCGGTGGGTCATTGGCTCCAGGATTCAAGTCGCCTGCCACTTGGTCTCCATTGTGCTTCAAGGGATTTAGGGTTCAGAATTTAGGCTATAGGGCTTAGGGTCGGGTTTGGGGTTTAGGGTAGGATTTGCAGTTTATGGTTTAGGTTGCACGCTCTTGAACTTGAATCACATACTGACGCCCACCCTATGCCCCCCCCCCCCCCCCAATGTTGGCATTCGATTTCAATTACGCCCCTGGCTCACCGCTGTCTATACTGGTAATTACTTCTGGTGCATCTTGCTAATTTTGATGACAAGTACCAGGTAACTACCACCTACGGGTAAATACCTTTAAACATTACTGCTCCCACCCAAGGACGGTCAGGCATAGAATCCGGAGCGGTGGTCGCAACCCTTAGCGTAGTATCTTGACCCCAAATGTAGGTAAACAAGTGGACCTTTAACCCAGTATAACACAGTCAGACGGACCATTCGTGTACGATCTCTCTGGATTCAGGTAGTAGCACCCGAAGACTTAGAGTACTCGCTCAAGGGGGAATTCCAACAGAATGCCTAAGCCATCGTCCCTAAACGCTATACACTACACCCTGAACCCCAAACCCTAATCCCCAAACCCGAGACCCTAATCCTTAAACCCTAGTCCCTCAATCCTAATCTCTAAATCCTAAACCCTGAATCCTAAACCCTAAATTCTACACCCTAATCCCTAAACCCTAATCGTTAAATCCTAACCCCAACTTTCAAGGATGCCACCAAGCTGGAGTACTCGCACTACGTCAAGTACATCGAGGAGCGCTTCCCGCCGGAGGTGCCCCAGATGTTCGGCCTGTCCTCCGGCTGGGGAAAGTTTCATCTAGGTTTAGGGTTTAGAGCCCTATAATGGAGAATCAAATGGAAAAGAAAATGGAAAATGAAATGGAAACTGGGATTATATAGGGGTTAGGAGGGTAGTATTTTATTTGAGGATACTATGGTACCCAATATAGAGTAAGATTATATCCTCCTTTTGGGGTATAGTATAAAGTTTTAGGGTTTAGGGTTTAGAGTTTACGGAAAGTTTCATTTAGGTTTAGGGTTTCAGGGTTTTAGGGTTTTGGGTGTAAAGTTTAGGGAAAGTTTCATCTAGGTTTAGGGTTTAGAGTTTAGGGAAAGTTTCATCTAGGTTTAGGGCTCAGGGTTTTAGGGTTTTGGGTGTAGTGTTTAGGGAAAGTTTCATCCAGGTTTAGGGTTTTAGGGGTTCAAAGTTTTTCGGGTTCAGTATCTAGAGTTTAGGGAAAGTTTCATGTAGGTTTTGGGTTTCAGCGTTTTAGGGTTTTGGGGTTTAGGGTCTAGAGTTTAGGGAAGGTTTCATCTAGGTTTAGGGTTTCAGGGTCTTAGGGTTGTCGGGTTTAGTGTCTAGAGTTTAGAGAAAGTTTCATCTAGGTTTAGGGCTTTAGGGTTTAGGGCTTAGGGAAAGTTTCATCTGGGTTTAGGGTTTTAGGGTTCAGGGTTCAGGGTTCAGGGTTAAGGGTTTAGAGTTTGGAGTTTAGGGACTAGGACTACAGGATTTAGTTTTCAGGCTTCAGGGTTCAAGGACCGTGTTTTCAAATTGTGGATTTAGGGTTCAGGGCTTAATGTTATGGGTTAGGGTTAGGATTCATCGCGTAGGTGAGAACGTGGAGCATGGGAATGGCAAATCCAAACCCTAACCCTAGATCCTAAACCCTAGACCCCACACCCTAAACCCTAGACCCCAAACCCTAAACCCTAGACCCCAAAGCCTAAACCCTAACTTTAGACCCTAAACCCTAAACCCTAGACCCTAAACCCTAAACCTAGACCCTAAACCCTAGACCCCAAACCCTAACTTTAGACCCTAAACCCTAGACCCCAAACCCTAAACCCTAACCTTAGACCCTAAACCCTCGCATAGGGTGGAGGATCCCGGGCTGGGGTTGGGGACATGGACGCGGCAGTCCTCGTGCGATCACCATTGTAATCCTAGCCTCAGGGTTTAGGGAGGTCCGAATTATTCGCAAAGAAACACAACTGGGAATTGTGGCTGTTTTTGCGGTGATAACCCTAAACCCTAATCCCTAAAACCCTAAACCCCAAAAACCTAAACCCCAAAAACCTAAACCCTAAACCCTAAAACCCTAGACCCTGAACCTTAAACTCTAAACCCCTAAACCGTAAAGATTCAAGCTTTGGCTGTCAGGGCTCCAGCTTGAGAGTTTGAGGTTGACGTTGTTAGCTTGAGGGTTTGAGGTTAAGGCACGGGTTGAGAGTGGGGCAAGCTCTGTAGTGCTTAGCATCATAGTCGGGACTGGGTTTAGGGTGTCATAATGGGTCGTAAAGTCTCTTGCAGCGGAGATTTTCAGGACTACTACAGGTATCCCTTCTTAGGACCATGTAGTAGTAGCATTAATGAATGAATGCGGGTCTTCAGGCTGTGGGTTCCATGTGGAATTTCTTGTAAGGAATTTCTTGTAAGGCAGATGTTCATGCCTTTGGGCGCGCTGTGGCATTATTGCTGTTTCCTTTGCCGAAACTAGCAAAAATAGAAGCCCAAGACAAGAAAGATTATAATCCTCGCAGGAGCAGTTTTGGAACATGTTATTCTTAGCTTGAGGTGCGATGGTATAATTACCATGAGGAGCAGTAGCAACATCGAACGCCGCCATCCCAAGCCAGTCTAGCTACTACAGTAATTATGTTGGGGTTTAGGGTTTAGGGCTTTCCCAAAATTAGGGGTATATTGGGGTTATATAGGGCAAAATTAGAGGGATATTGGGGTTATCTAAGGTAATGGAAAAGGAAAGGGAACTACTATAGGGATTATATTATATAGGGGTTATAGGCATAACACCAAGATGACAAGAACGGCTGTATGCAAAACCAGACATACTGCTATTAGGGTTAGACTCTTTCTTGGCACCGTACACTTGCTGTCAGCTCTTGCTTTCGTTGTCGCTTCTCTGCCGTGTAAGTCCGGAAAATCCAACGAATCACGTGTAATTGTACTATAAATCGCGCTTTGGGAGCTCAGTTTCTTGCCTGGCCTAACGCTGATATGAGCCTTTCTCGAAAGTATTCCTGGCGAATCTGAATTGGAAAGCCCCAAATCCTGGAAACCGCTACGCCCCAAGAGTTGCCTAGTTCATTTCGCTAGAGCCTAAACCCTAAACCCTAAACCCTAAACCGCGTGACAGCCCAAGGCACCCGAACGCTGAGATTGGTTTCCTGACGAATCAGGGCATCAGCATCTTCAAGACCATCTCAGCCACTCGGTTTAGGGTTTAGGGTTTAGGGTTTAGGGATCAGGGAGTTTTCCTTTGGACC